ATTTGAAACAATGATCAGTCTTCACATTAAAAATACCTCATTCTGCAAAAAGCTCCAACTCACATTTACAGCGGCTAAGTACTTTCTTCCCAAAATAAACAATGCTTACATCAGCAGATATTCACATTTAGATCACACAATGCTGATATAGGCTAAAAGGACAGCATAGGAACTCAGCTTGATATATCTACAACTCTGTCACAAACTTGCATGCTCCTACAAGGAACTATACTACCTCCTGAACTCCACTGTAAGAGCAGAAGATTGTACTGGTCTGACTGGGATGGAGTCAGCCTTCCCCACAGCAGCCTGTATGGTGCCGTGTTTTAGGTTTGTGACTAGAGCAGCACTGATGCCCTCCCCACGCCAGCACACAGGCCAGGGGTGACCAAGAGTTGTGTCTGTGTGTTTGATGCATCTATCCGTAATAGACACAAACTTATATTTTAGTTAAGAACAAAACAGCAAGTTTTATACCACCTGAAAATATAAGAATGAACTTACTTCGTCTCCTGAATAGGGGAAATGGGGCCTTCATCATCTAAGTATTTGTGTTTCCGTACCACCAGACATTCTCTTTCTAAGTCTTCACTGGCCTGAAGGGCTTTCAAAGCTTTTCTAAGATGTTCTTCGTATTTAAGCATTTCAATGTACTGGAAATACCCCTTTGCAGCTGCTTGCTAAAGAAAAATGCATGAGGTGAGATCTTAAAGATACCACTATAAAGCATTTATATTACGAACTACATTACGATGTTATATTGAAACCCATATTTCACCTGTTTGTCTTAAAATTATTAGACAGACAACATGAAATGTCCTGTTTAACAGAAGTTAAAAGTGTTTCATTGTTTATTGTAGCGCATCAGGTAGAAGCCAATTTAAATTCCCTTCATTTTTAGACTAAAAAACCCCAATACTACATTTATCCCACCAAACAGAGGGCTCACCTCATAGCCAAGAACCATCTTTAAGGGAATATGTTTCTTCCCATAATATTTTTCAACGAAGGGGAATTGAAAGCCTCTGTGTAGAAGCCTTCTCTTTCGCTCTTGAGGTGAGGCTGTCAGGGGTGGCCTCCCCGTAGGCATCTGTGTGCTCACATACTTTCTCCTCTTCTTCTTGCCTGAGCCACACTTATATTTTCGGTGTGCAGCAGCTTTAAACTTCTTTCCCCTGAAGTGATAAGCAAAAATGGCTTTCAAGTTGAATTTTGATTTCTTGGTGGAAGTTTCAGATGATTTCACTGGACTTGGAGGGGACAGAGAAGAATCTGAAGAGCTTTGGTTGTCACATGCTCCTGCAACAGATTCAGCTTGTTGCTCTGAAGATTCAGATCTCTTTTCCTTTGAAGGTGCAATGGAGCACCTAGGATGGTACTCACTGCCACTAGCAGCAGAGACATCACTGAAGAAGAAAAAAATAATTACTTTCAAAAGAATGTATACTTTTATGATAAACGACACAGGTTCTTTACATGAAAAACTTTAACTAGAGATAAAAACTCACTTTTCTGAATCACTGCTGTCCAGTAAAATCCCATCTGAAGATTTGTACGTACTGTTAAGCTCATCTGAAGACTCCTCAGGGGCACCATTCTTCTGCCTTGAAAGTGAACACTCCACTCGT